GGCTACCTGTGTACCAAGAAACAATGTGAAATGTCCGCGCCAGCCAGGGAAGTGCTCACAGATTTTGGCGGTTGTCGTGTTTTCTTGAGTAATTACCCCGATTAAAGAATCACTATAAACAGAAGGGCTGGCATTGATCTTGCATCATCCTGCAGAAACAACCAAGAGGCCCTGCCGGGCTTTGAGCGGAGAGGTTTTGCTGTGAACATGTTATTCTATTTTGTTTGTTCAGAAATCGGAGCTTGTTGGCCCACAGCTGCGCACTTGAAGTGCTTGGCACCGGGCACAGCTTCATGGACCAGGCATCCTCAGGGGGACAAATGACACGGATTCAACATAGCCAAGTCACGGTCACGCGCCTTTTCAATGGCAGCTACTGGGCGTATCATCAGACCTTGCAACGGCGGCCCGCGGTCCGCCCATCGAAACGATGGCGTGGATAGCGACCGGAAATGCAAGACGTCCAGTGGATGGGTTTGTGTCGTGAACTAAAGATGCTCTGGCAGTTGCCAAGTGTCTGGTTCATGGTGATGCTGACGGATGGCACTTGCTCAAGGAACTTGCTGGTTTCTCGATGGGTTTGAGTAGTTTGTATTAGTTTTTGATTTTACGGGTGAGGACATGTCATTTCACGGCCTTTGAGTTCTTCTGGCCTTTCATGGTGCATCTTTGGAAAGATCGGCAAGGACCTAGTGCGGGATGCCATAAACTTTCGTAATTATCTGGTTCCACCTAACTTTGTGTGCCTGATGAATTCACGAGAGGGAGCGCGGAACGTCAGTGTTGCAGATAACTTGCAATGTTATGAAATGCTCACCATTGGAGGCCAGTGCAGTAGACGTAGACTGATGCGTAGAGTCCAAAAAAGTAAAGGCACGTCCTCCTTTTTCTCAAAAAGGGACAAAGAGGGTGATTCGCATTGCGCTGTTTGGTTACCAGAAGCTATGCTATAGCATCTACCTGCACGAGATAGTAAGAAATCTACTGCCCAGCTATTATGGTCACAGTGCCTGTGGTAAATGGGAGCAAACAAGATCTACCTGACAAGGTTGTAAACATAACAGGTTCGACCACATTGACCCGTCCGTGGTCAGAGTAGAAGCAACCCAAACTACCAGATCTTAAAACAGAACTGCTCCTCATGATGGGGGAGTGATTTTGGACTAAAAATGCTAACACAAATCCGGTTGTTTTCCAGTGTTGTTTGACACAAATAGGCTTAAAACCGCTATTTTGGAGCAAAAAGATGAGTTCACCTCCAAAGGCTGTCATGTTGTCATAAATCATTGGCATCTACAGACTTTTGTGACAGAATTCAACTTTTCATGCGAGGCTTGCAAAGAACTACAATCAATCACTTGCAATTCAAAAAACATACCGGAAAACATTTGCTGCACCACATGCCATAAGAATGGATAGCTCGTGCATCTTGCTATAGAATATTTGGAGTCAATTTTGAGTACCAATAGGTGGCCAGTGTGCTAGAGTTGATGGAGGATTTCTATTGCTAGAAGCAAATGATATGATACCGCTGCTTCTTCATGAACTTGTTAAATTGATATCATCTCAACATACATTACCGTAAGTATATAGAGACGACGGCATTTGCACTTTGGACAGTCCATTGAATTCATGTTTGAATTGGCTTCCCAAATCCAAACATGTAGGATTTAGCTTGCAGCAAAGAGGCAGCTGCAATTGAATTCCTCAAAACGATATTAGCAATAGAGGAAGTGACGCTAATAACAGGTTTGAAATTTTAGCTTTGTTTGTTGCTTGTTTCTGTCGGTGCCTGTCAATATTTTGTGAGGTCAGGGTCAGGCACCAAGAAAAAAACAAACCACTAGATGCACCAAACCATCACAGGCACCAAAAAAAGCAACAACAAAAGACAACATGTTCGGAACTATTGTTACCAGAGTTTCAGACCCTCTAAGTACATCTAAGTACATAAAACATTGGTATTTACAGTGTTTTATGATCATGTTTATATAAATTAATGAAAATTACCTCCCCCACAGGGTGCCGCTCTCTGTTAAAAACGGCAGCGTTGAATTTGAATCATTTTGTGCCAGCCATAGCTGAACGTGCAACAGCCAAAACTGTCATGATTGGGAAAGGTAACGAGTTCAGACAAGAGATGAATAGATGAGGGGCGTTGCGATGGGGCCTGTAAGGCTTACATGGTTTGCCTACATTGTCCTACATCCAGATTGCAACATGTGGATGGCAACCGGTTCAAAAAAAAGTGTGAAATTCAGGTCCAACAGCTCTGAAAATTATCTATATACTCATCCCCTGAGACTCTGTGTGCACATCCTTAAGCTATCATCACTTGTATATATCTATATATATATATTATATATATATAGCATCACGGGAAAGGTTGAGAAAGTTTTCTAGTCTCATGTAGTTTGTAATATGAATTCTGGAGCTTTTAATGGGAGCCAAATTAGGAGGAAACTTTTTACGCGTCCTCTCAGTCGAATTGATTGCATGCCCCTGTCGAATCTGAATTTTTGCCTCGTCGACTCGTCCCTCGTCCTTCGGGGCCAAGCCACAGAGACTGGTTTGGTTGTGATGGCCATGACTGGTGATGCCACGATCATTGGATTGTTTTTTGGGGGAATTTTTACAGGAAAACATAGGAAACCCCCATATTTAATGGTAGATACCATGGTTGGGTTTCACCTTAAACCTATCCAATACCAGGATGATATAGATTTTATCATACTATCATAAATATATATATATATAATCATACACATATATAGTCACACACATATATATATATATGTATATGTATAGGTATAACGTCAACCCTGGATCAATAAACCCCTACAGTAGGCTGTTTAGTTAGGGTGGTACCATTTAAGTTCATTTAAGTATCAGATTATGACTATTGGGGGAGTACACACCTAATTATTAAACCATGGCTTATGAATCCGGGGTTGACATTATATATTATATCACATATGTATTTGTGAATAAGTTAAGTTGTCTATGCGTTGGTGCATACATGCGTATGTATATACATACATATTTGCACATACCTCCGTACTTACTCACCTTACCTTTACCTTTACATTTTATCTTTACCTTACCTTTGCTTTTACCTCACCTTACCTTGCCTTACCCTACCCTACCTACCTATGTACCTATGTGCATGCATACATACATACGTTCTTATTATTTGTTCACTGAATTGCCTACTTACGTGTGTATTATATACGCATAAATCTAGGTGTATACATACATACATACATACATACATACATACATACATACCTACATACCTACCTACCTACCTACCTACCTACCTACCTACATACATACATACATACATACACACACAGACATACATACATACATACATACATACATACATACATACATACATACATACATACATACATACATACATACATACATACATACATACATACACATGTACACATATGTAAACCTTAGCACTGGCATGATAGGGTGCACACTTTTATATACATCCAGAGATCCACTCCAATTGTGTCAGAAAAAATGGCGGGTGCTAGCATTTTCAGGATATGATTGGATCTCGGGGAATGTGTTTGGTTTGGACATTGTCCATCATACTTTAGCTATTGGATGTGTAAGAAAGGAGCTAATGCTTCATAGCGTGTATGTTTGAATAATGGCCATCAATACCAATTAATATCCAAATAGTTAACCTCAATTGATGGTAGACATAGTTTCGGATAGTTTCCATTGTTGATTTGGTCCGTCTTGGGATGATCATTTCAATTGATTACTTGTGGTCCGTCTTGGTTGTGGCTGGATCAGGTCGGTCTTGACTGTGGCACATATGAAACACTGAACTGCGGCGCAACGACGCAGCCTTGCCTTGCCAACACCTCGCCCATGACTGGGGCAGCATCGGACAACAGCGCGGGGCTGATGTTTGGTTTGCTCAGAACTGGGCAAGCCTGAAATGGGTTATAAATATATACATATATATGACAGTGGTTGATTATGCTGATGAAAGAATTTCGAAGCATGTGCAAAAGATCAACACCACAGCAACTAATGATTCTGTGCAGCAAAGTCATTTGCTCCTCTCAAGCCTTGTGCTCGTCGTCCAAACGCGATGCTGACCCAGGTAAGCACCTTCCGGATCGTAAGTAAGAAATAAGGTGTCTGAACTACCAAGCACTGGGCGTTTACATTTGCGCTTGCTCCAAGCCCCCCATTTTTATCCATTTTTCACATGTTTTCTTCTGCAAAATATCCACTGCCAAAGGCTCGCACGGAAAATGGTAGACCATATCAGATCCATGGGGTTACAGAGGTTGTTGGACGCACGACTCACCTTGGATGTTGCGTTGCCGGTCAACCGGTGGTAGAAAAATCCAGCAGAACTGTGTGGGCTCGTTAGATGAACCAGTGGAAGGGATAGGAACATAATAGCAACACTAGAGGAATCACATATTCTGGTTTGATGAGTCCCTATCACTATAGTTCGCAGATGTTTATAGATAGTGACAAACCACTATTGCTATTCACCAGTCAAAACCACTTTCGGAACCATGATTTGTAAATCCCCCTGGTTCGAGGCATCCCACTGATGAACTGATTGGCAACAGACTGGTCATTTTCATCCTAAATCCACTAGTTTATCATAACCCCCCCCATTGAAATGCCACTAGGTATGCCCGGGTATACCCCATTTTCAAACACCCACTTGGGCAACATGTTTCTTGAATCAGTGGATCAATTGACGTACTGGCCATGTGTGGTGCCAGTATGCAGAGATGTGGGTGCATTGACACAACAACTTAAAACAACTGAACACCAACTGGGTGGGTTTTCAACATCTCAAGACATGTCAAAACCAACAATTCCATATCATTCCATACAATTCCATAAATCTTCATCCACAGTATTTTTGCCCCCGGCTTTTCTTTTGAGTGATGAATGTGATGAACATTCCATGATTGTTCCCCACGCACTGTGCAGTTACCAAGGCGCTGACTGGGTTCATTGGTACCAGCAAGCAGGTGATGCTCCAATCCGCTGCTTGGCGGGCGAGACGGTCTCGAATAAAAATAAAGGACATGTAGGCAAACATATGTGCATTTAAATGTGTCCATGCATGTTATTATATATTTATACATTTTATATACACACACATATATATATAATATATATATATAAATATCATTAAATGTTGGCCTAGACCCAGACCTAACCTAGATGTTCCATGATTTCCTTCGTGCTACGAGCGTATGTAGATTTACATATGTTCTGTAGTTGCTTACCCCATCGTGAAACTCTCCCGCAACAGCAGCCTGACTGATGCCTATGATGCATACATTCATTTGGAGGAAGGTGTTTTCCTGCCATGCAACCCAACCTGCAGGTATCAGCCTTTGATTTGGACAGAGTTATGATACCCATGAGTTCATTCACAACAGTGGTGTATCTAGTCCAATCTACATGACGGCTAGCAGGTTTTAAGGTGTGTGTTGGCGTTGAAGTTCAGCCAGCAAATTTGGCAGCCTGACGCTTGTTCAGATCAATTGATTGAAGCCCTTTCTGACTAAGTCAGACTCCAACGAGGGGAACATATTTAATTATATATAATAGATTGATGCCATATAGATCCCATAGATGGGGCAATCAGTGTGCCCAATCACAGCCCAAGTGCGAGTCAATTCCCAGTTTTCACCTGCCATGCATGGCCCATGGTCGCGCTAAGGCCTGGGCTGGCTGGTTGGGCGCTACCTTGCGAAGTAAGGTGCCCTTGGAGGATGCTCCCAGATATCGCGTATAGTCCGTATAATTTTAGTTTTTGCACCAGCGTTTAACATCAAAAAACATGAATCAATCAGCAGGAAGTTGGAAAGTCTTGATGTGCTTCTCCATCTTCTCTGGTTGTCTCAGCCGCTGCAACATTGACTTGGGTCGAGCAGATTTTTGCTCTTTTTAACCAGGCTGAAGGGGTTGCAATCAGCTACTTTAAGTTGCTTGGAGTTGCGATGTAACTGAGCTGTAGAGATGTCAAACCATTTGTAATCACTAAACGATGTGTATATATATATATGATATTAATCCCTTCCCGCTATTACTAAGCGTACCATAACGTACCCCAAATATAAAAAACTAGGGTCCGTTTTCAATTTTGGAAAATTCAAAATTTGCCAATTTGATTTTTAATTGATCCCCTGTAGAAAACAATTAACAAATGAAGGTTCCATTTGAGGGTTTCAGCTCCTAATAAGGAAAACTAGTCAACATGGGGGGTGTGTTTTTATTAGGGTCCGCCCTTTAAAAGCAAACATGTTTTTCGATTAAGGTTCTTAACTTAATATTAGGGGACCTTCGAAATCCAAAGTTTGACAATATCCATTTAGATTTAAAAGAAATGTGTCATTGATTTTGAAATAGAACATTTTATGTGTTTTATCATTGTGTTTACTTTTATATTAGGGGAACCTTCGAAATCCATTTTTTGGCAATAGTTTAATTAGATTTTAAAAAAGGTGTTTATCGCTTTTGACATTTTTTTTGTTTAATTAATGTTTCTAATTTGATATTAGGGGAAAAGCTTCCAAATCATTTTTTTGCAATATTTGAATTAGATTTTACAAAGGAACTTGATCGATTCTGAAATCGACAATTTTAAATTTAGTATTAGGGGGAAACTTCGCACCCTAATACTAAATATTCCCTAATATTCAAAATTCCCCTAGGTGTTGACTATTAGGGGTAGGAGGGGTTGGTTTAATATTGGGGGAGGGATTATGATTGTATTTATATAATTTAGATATCTTAAATACATAATTTACACAATGTTATTTACTCGCCAAAACGGCGCCACTTTCTTCAGCTAGCCTTTGTGGCAGTCAGGGAGAACGCAACCTGACATCTCGCTATGAGACCGAGCTTCAGGTCGGACCTTAAGGGAGGGGCTGCGGCAGCGGGCCGGAACAGCTGCAGTTTTTTAGGCTTTGGGGAAAACTGTGTATTGGAATCATTGAAACTTGGCTTTGGGAAAAACATTGATTATTGAAGCTTTGTTCCAATATCATTGAAACTCCAATATTGGAACACATCAAATCATTGAAACTTTATGGATGGAGGATTAGCCAGCTGCAGCCAGCTCATTCCCTCATGGACAGGCGGCCGAGGAAGAACTTGAGAAGTTCAAGGTGTGGAACCTCTATGTTTGCGTGTGTATTTGTGTTGGGCAGATAGAACAAATCATCCGGGGAATTATTTGGTGCAGAAGGTGACAAGTGAAGCTGCTGACACATACAAAAAAAGCAGGCATGCATGCATATATATATATATATAATGTATATTAATGTATATATTTTTGTGTATAATATCTTATTTATATATGCAATTACGTGCAATCATAGTTTGATGCTGTTCCCGTCCGTTCCCTGAGTCATGGGTTCATAGCGGAGTTTTGCCGCAGCGTCACATATGCAGGCCAGACACATCAACAACATCAGCCGTGTGGTGGAGCAAAACTACAAACGCGAAAACGAGGCAATGATTGGTGGCGTGGGTGTTCTATAGCTTCACTTTGAAGACAAGCAATTAAGTGCTGATGACCGATCCATAATAAGCACCCAGTGATACAAAGCAAAGCATATCAAAAAAGCATCAAAGTACATAATTTTGAGGATGGTTTTTCCTTTCTGCCCGGAGATTAAAACAAAAATAAACTCTGCATGTTCTGGGCACCCAGGGACCCCTGAAATCCTGATCCGCAGCTGAGCCTCGCAGGACCTGTTGAGCACAGTGATGGCAGACTGGAGGAGTCAGACCTCTCGACAAAAGGCCGGGCAGAAACGGCATCGGTTTCTGTGATCCCTTGGTGCCACAAATCAAAGCACCAGGCCCATCACTTTTTTGAAGATCTCCACTTGGAGGCAGCCCTTGGTGAATGTATACAATTAGAACGTGATCCTGGGTTGAGCATGTTCATACATTGTCATACATGACCATATATAGGATTTTATAGGATTTTATAGGATTTTATAGGTCCCCACTAAGCCTCAATAAGCCTTCGAAGCAAATGCCCAAGATCCATTGGCGCTACCTGGATACCTAATCTGCAGTTGTTTATCCTTTGGATCCTCACTATAGATTCATGCAGGTTTGTGTGAGAAAAGGATTCCCGAAACTGCAGTAGTTTATCATTATGTTCCGCAAGTTTCCCTATGTTTCCCTATTCCCTTCTCAAAGTGCAATTTTGCATCATTTTGGGTGGCATCTCCATTTTCATTCACTCCCATTTCAAAAAGGCAACCCTTTTGTATTGTATACACATAATATGTATATATGGGACCACACATATATAGAAATGCGCACACACACACAGTTGACGATATATGTATATATATATACACATAATTACATATATATATACATACACACACAGATATATATATATATATATACACATATCAACTGCATGTCTTTGGATCAGAGTCCCCTGGCTTGGCCTTGGCCCGGGCCCTGAGGCGGAGGCTTGGACCGAAGATAAGGTGAATATCATGCAGCTGACCATCGGCAGGTGCCAAGCTTCAGTGGATCCAGGGCTCTCAAGGGGACGTGCAAGTGCTGCAAGGGGATTGGTTTGGGTTTGTTTGCATCCTGATGACTTTAGATTTAAAAGATGCATATGAATGTATATATAACAAAAGTAATTAGCAGTTTTGACAGATGGCGATAGAGAGAGAGAGAGAGAAAAAAACAAATGGATATATATATATATATAATTATATATAACATACCTATGTATGTGTGTGTGTGCATCTGTGCAAGTACTCTGGAAATGTTCCAAAGCTTCCAAACTTGGGCTACGCTTCAACGCAACTGAGTGCCACTAGTTTTTGTTGCGTTGATGTAGGAAGAACTACTTGATACTTTGAGAATTGTTTTGGCCATGGGGGTGATTGCTTCGAAACATTTCGAAACTATGTCTTGCGATCACCTTGCTTTGGGGAGAAAGAATGGGCATACGTAAATATCATCGGTGGAGTGATGCTGGTGATGATAAACTCAGACTCCCCTTGGTCTATTCTGTGACAAGATTTTGTGCCTCGGATGTTAATCCAGCCCTGGTGGGTCAGGGCTGCCAAAGACATGTGCGGTCGTGCGAAGAAGGCATTGAAGATGGGTAATGGGCCAGGCTCTGATTATGGCTCCAACCAACATGCATAATGATTATGGGTAGTATGCCTGCATGACGGATTGAAGTTGACTGAAAGATTTCCAGAGGCCCAAGATGTCAAGTGCACATGGAATCGTCGAAGCTTTGCTCGCAACAAAACAGACAAGGTACGTTAGCCTTAAGCCCCTGTTTCAAGCAAGAGAACACGGGAACCCCTTTGAGATCACATCAAGGCACGTTTGCAAAAAAAAGTTGCCCCTGCAGGTCATTGGAAGGATGCTCCATGAGCAAGAAGGTGCGCAACTCGAAGAGATGAGCACCTGTCTTTTCTCTGTTTTGTTTGAGTCAAATGATGTCAAATGTTAATTTAAGTCATCACGGCTTTAGGTGATGAATGGTGATGATGTTTTTTGTTTCTCTCCAGGGGAGTCGACCAAGATGTAAAAGATCATGCAACTAAACCATGCATGGAGGTTAAAGGCGGCTGGTTGTTGGGTGATTTTGGCCCACATCCGGTGGCTTTTGGCTTCGCAGGAGCCAGCATTGCTGCCTGCTTTTCCTCTTGGGTTTGGATCTCAGATTCACCTTTTGTGGTGTTGGATGGCAACCTGGGTGTGCTTGGCAAAAAGATAGGCCACTTTGAACGAGTCCTTGTACCAGTGCCAGTAAAACAGTTAAACATTCGCGGGTAGGCTAGTCTCAGAAAGCAAAGATTCCATGGTCAGAATTGCCATGGCTGGGGCAAAGACAACAAATGAGGATGAAGCAGGAGTTAAGATGAGGAGCCCGTGCAAAACACATTAATTATATAATTGTAAAAATGTATATGCCCATATTAAGTCACTCACTATCAAATGGCATCCCCCCCTGTAGCCACGTGTAGTTGGAAGGAGATGTGTTTTTGCAGGATGATGTGCCAGATGGGTTTGGGGCTTGGAATGCCGATTCAGGTACAATTCAGTAGCGGCTACAAAAAAGAAAAAGAGTTCGAAGAACACGCCGCTCAGTTGCAAGGATGGGTGGTTGGATTCTCCAGGTTGGCAAAATTGGGTGAACTTCGTAGCATGCATTTCATTTATAGGCTGTATTTCGAGCCGCTCAATTCTAGCCTAACAACGCTTTGGGCCAATTGTATCCAATTGTATCTACCCCCCCATGGAGGCTCATGTTGATCACCCATATAGGTTTTGAAACTACAAACATGTTCCTTTTTTTATGTTTGAATCCTGTTGCGTGATGTACGAATTCGGGATCCAATAAAGGGATCATTTTGGTTGCGACGTGAGACCTCAAAGTCCTCAAAAACCAGGATGCAAAAGAGATCAATATGTCCGGTGCAGAGCTTTGGGTCTTCCAAGTCATGATGTGGGCTACTGTAGTCGGCGTGGACCAAACTACCCGTCCTTTATGTTTTGATGCGATCATGAAACCACAAATGTTTCAACATGTTTCAACCATATTGACCCATGCAACTGAGGTGAAGAATTTTGAAAAGCAGATGAAGGTGTGGGAGAGCTGAGGATAGTTGAGGAATGATGGGCAGACTGGCTGGGTCGACAGGTCTTCGTGGACAAGAAGAAGGATGATGCAGCCATCATCATCAACAGAATTTCAGTCCCTGGGCAGCCGGTTCATGCCGATATTGGAGGGACAAAGGATCAGAATTCAGACATCAAATGCGCGTGGGTTTGTCCTGATTGGCCGTGAGAATGCTGTGAGGATATGTGAGCAGTGTTACACAGTGTTCAAAAAAACCCTGTTGAATGATGATTATATGGGGTTACCCTCTGGTAATTTAACATGGCTATGGAAAATCACCATTTTTAATGGGTAAATCCACTATTTCTATGGCCATTTTCAAGTGCATTGGGTTTTTTTATCACCATCCACTGCGGGAAATCCAACCAGATCCAAGCACTTTTGGTGGAGATCCTGAAAAATCGTGTTTTGTTCGCTTTTGGTTGAACAAAAGCATCGCTATATTATATACTATATATCGCTATAGAAAACAGCCCATTTGGTTCCATTTGGTTCGATGATTTACCTATTCAATCCTTTTCAAAATCATGATGTCCAGCACCAGGCTTCAACAGATAGCGGCTTGGTGCAGCAGACTTTGGCTGCATGGATCCTTGGGTTCCATTAGGGTACCATAGGATACCCGGTCGTTGGGGATGGCCTTGGGCTTCCAACAGGAGATCCCAATGGGAAATCATATTAATAGAGGGAGGTGTCAATGGGAAAATTATGGAAACATATTATATCATCTTATGATCCAATCGGTGATTTTCCACTGCCATGCTTGATTACTATACCAAAGGGTAAAGTGGAAATTATGCCATGGCGATTTGTCCAGAAAAACGTGATCCAAAAGAGGACTTCGAAACAGCGGCACGGACCAGGTGATACCAGGTGGATGCATTATACGCATCTCCTAAAATCATCAGAATGCCGAGCAATATTAACACTCTTTGGCAATCCAACCTGGCAACGAATGATCCCTTTATAGATATATTGCTATAAGGCCTATATTATATATATATAATATAATATATAGTATATATATATAATATGTATATAATATATATATAGATGGTTGATTTGTAGCACTAATTGAAGTCATCTTCAGATCCCAATCTATGGGATGTTCCCTTGCCATCTTTTTTCAGCCCATTCCCAGGAGCAGCTACACCTTTGAGGGTCAGAAGATCAGACGATTGGAGGGCAAGGCGCAGGGCCATGGCTGGCTATCGCCAAGTGATGCCAAGTGACCAAAAAGGGGAAATAGACCATCTATGACCATCCCATATGGGATCTATAACATTAACACTTAACCATGTATAAAGTCTATATGTACATAATGGGATTGGTTTTATGGGATATACATCATCGGATCTATAACATTCGAGAACCATCTATAACCAGCACAACTTCAACTGCTTGTTTCGTAAAACTGACGGACCCAAAAATTATCGAATTCATTTGTTTTGAAAGGGGAAACCATGGGATTTTGCCAACACACATGCTGATACTATAAAGCCAACCTCAATGGGTCATTTGAAGACTGAACCCACAAAATTGGGGATGTTGACCAACCATAATGGGGATATACTTGGCATTCAACTTTTGTGATGGCCTTGGCTTGATGCATTGGGAGCGGTGCCTTTCTCCAGCTACCAACAGCTGCCCAGCAGGTCTGACCTTTTATCTCCCAAACGTTAGGCAAGTTTCTCTGGATATAAGCAATCATTCACGAAGAAACATAAGAAACTTGTTTGCCTTCGATGTTCTATAACTCTCTTTTAACTAAGGACCAGCATGCCTGAATCGAAAAAACACTGACAGGTCTTCGGCTGTGACGACCGGCTACGGGCTCAAAATTGTTTTGGTGTAGCTTGCCAGGTTGTTTGACCGCTTGGATTTTGGTAGAACTAGCCTTGCGGTTACCAGTTGATCGATGAAGGGTTTGCATTCCAAGTCGCAGATTTCAAACATGTTTAAACCTTTTGTAGCATTTGGCCATCCCTTGCCCTCCCTTGTGCCCTGTTTCGTAGTTTGCTTCCCCCACAGCTAAGCGCAGACAACACGGGTTCCCGAGATCGCCTGAGGTTGAGCGAAGTGAAGAAACATCACCGGGAGATCGCCTTTGACCTCTCAGGCGCTGTCGATACCATCGCTGCTGTTACCAGGAACTGGATTTTTGGATGAGTACCCTCTGGTAAACTAACATAGCTATTGAAAATGGCCATTTATAGTGGATTTACCCATCAAAACTGGTGATTTTCCATAGTTATGTTAAATTACCAGAGGGTAAAGCCCAACAATTGACAATTGTCATGTAAGGAGGTGGGGAATTATGTTTTGGAATATATCTTAAATATGTTTTTGCAACCCTGAGAGCCTGAGATGATGGTCCCCAGTTGGTTCATATCTTTGGGATGTGCTGAAATCACAAATCAGCTTGGCATCCATCGGGTTTTGATTTGGAGGTCGGATGCCTTCAGTTGCTGATTATGTACGACAATGGGCTCGATGTAGACACTTTAACAAAATATTACTATAAATGTATGTTCGCATATAAGATTAGATTCTTAGACTAGGTAAGATTGATTCGATTAGATTAGATTAGAGTAGATTAGATTGATTCAGAGATTCAGATTGATATAAAATCATATACAAGCCAGAATTTGGAGGTTCACATGACTTTCTTCCCTTGGATGCTTATAGAAGGAGTGGGCCGAAGGGTACACAACAGACACCCCAAGTTCGGACTTCCTGAGCGAAAAAGAGCAGGCCGCACCGGCGATCAGATTGACATGAACACCATGTGCCAAGGGGGGCCTTGCTGTTGCTGACGGACTCACCCTGCTTCCCGAATCGTACACAAACTTGGCTAAGGACCAACAGATCTGCGGAGAAGATGCGTTTGCTTAGAGACATGTGAGTTGTTTTTGTTCACATTTACATGTCATGTGCAAATTCAACTGTTCGGTAAAATTAAGGGGCACGTTCAATTTCATGCAAATGTATTTGCCCATGCGTGCAAACACAACATCAACTGACCACAACAGTATAAGTGACCAATCCCTTCTGTTAAGATGATCAAATATCGGGACATGTTGGAGTCTCAATGAAGAAACTGGGGGTGTTTCAAGAACTTGGTATCTCAGCATATCCCCATCATATCGCCATGAACTATCCACGCAGATTTTGAGATTTTTGAGGTACCAAGCATGGATGGCCTGGAGCTCTGTGAGTAGAACTTCCCGACTCGCACCTTGGATGCCTTGGATGCCTTGGATGCCTTGGACGACGGTGAACGTGATGACAAGCGGTGGACGTTTGAAACGCTGAACATCAATAAGTTGACCACGCCAATACCCCTAGTCATTGAATTCTGATGAATTCGGACTGTTCTGTCATCTCCATTCAGGTGAGCCAATATCTCAGGATATCGGAGTTTTTAAACTCACAGGGGTGCTACTAATATTACTAAGACTGGCCTCAGGACAAGTACTACAGCGGCAAGATCGAGAGCAAACGGAAACAGCTGTCGAGCGTCCAAATTTTGTTCCAGAGCTTTGCGGATGAGTTGGAGTCCGGCTTAGGAACCTTGGATGTTTGGAGGTCAAGGGATTGCCGATGATGGCTTGTCCTATTGTGTGGATGATCAGTATCACATGGAACAATACTGTATCCCAATGTATTCCATTCATTCCCATTTTATTGTCCTACATTCTATGTTTATTTTGTTGTTAGCGATTCCTGAGCCAATCTTCCATTCATTTTGTTTGGTGTTCCATGGTGTTCCAATATCTCAAAGTAGCCTTTGCCGACCTTCTGCTGGGGGGTATGCGAAGACTGTAAAGGGCGAATGGTCGCATTTCTGGAACACATGGATTCGACTCTCCCAGACTCGGCTTGAGTTTAGTGACAAATTTCTGGGAAGATGCCAAATTATTTATATATTATATTATTATTATATATATATATACAATTATATGCATATATATAATTATTATGTATATATATATATACACACTATATTTTTCATATTACACACGCACACGCATAAATATATATATATACTGTATATACTTGCTACCTGTTGCTTTGGACACCCAGCTCTGTCCCTTTTCAGACACCATGCCCATTGGCCAAAAGCATGCAACAACAGAAACACACCCTGTCACACCCCATCGTTTGCAGTGATTTCCAAATAAGTAAGGCGAACACCTCGTAAATGAGTCCGCAAATGCACCAATTTTCTTGCCATAAATTGGGGGAATCAAAATACCTACAGCCTACGGGTTTTTGCGTGTCTTTACAGGGTATGGTGTAATGGGGCACCAAGGAATCAAGGACCAGGAGGATGACTCCGGTGGACCGAAGGGCAAAGCTGCAGCTCGAGGTGTGACCAAGAGCGATGCAGAAGCTTGGCTGTACGGCCGTAGGATGTAGGGAATATTTCGGGACTTTGCCCTGTATTTATCTGGGTAAATTATAACGACCTCACTGCGACCTCGCTGGAATCATGGTTAATAAGGGGAATCATCCCCAAATGGCATTAATTCAGGTTAGTAAAATATTCTAATTTACCCAGATTTATGTAATTAAAAGCATGTTTCCCTGGGCATATTCCCCTTGATTTCATTCATCTTTATATTAAATAGCAGTAACATATACACACACATATATATATATATACATACACATCTAGATATGTATCTATATGCACGTGTATATTATATATACATATACACTAACAATACACACATTTCTATAGATAGAATACATGGCACCATTTTTATAATCAAGCCACAGGAGAGAGGAGATGTGTTGTGCCGGGGCAATGGGCACTTCCCCATCCTCAGTGGGTAGATAAATAATCTACGGATGGGTCACATATCATTGACATGGTGGATGCTTGAGGTCGTGTTTGCCAAGATGTGTGGCAAGTGAAGTCACCCAAAATAGTAGCGAAACAGCATCATCGGGAACCCCTAGGCCCTCGTGTGTCTGAAACTGGGACGGCTGCCGGTAGACCCAAAACATGTCCTGGGGAAGATGATGGAAAACCTAGCGCAGATCAGTTGCTTTCCTGAGGTCTATGCAATGGCTGGAGCAGTGGCTTCGAGAGTTGTGGGTTGAAGGAAGCAACTCCATCTAGCAGGAGTTGCCCATGAGGAGGGGTATAACTGTGAGTAGACACGTGATTAGGTGAACACGCAAAACAGTAGACCACATGGGTTTTATGAGTCTGGGAATGCTGGATATCCGGAAACAGTTGATGATGTTTTTTTTGGTTAAAACTGTTGGTTTTGTGTCCATTCCTGTGGTTAGAACTCCAGCAGAGTGTTAAGCACTGGGCGAATCAATTGGGACTCATGAGGACAGGTGGAAAACAAAACCACTGCCACCCTTCAAGTCGCTTGCGTTACATTGTTACAGTTACATTATAGTTATAATACTTGATTTAAAGTAACAGGTTGACATAAATTTGGCATAAATGATGACATCTGTGGGTTATGTAATTGTGTAGATGGGGAATTGGGAGTGGGGATCTTGAGAAAGTGGAAGGACTCATGGGGGGACAATTAGACAACAAATCAATGGACTTGGGTGTCGGAGTTTCCCCACTAATCTGCAGATTCTTTAAAGATCTTTAAGAAACGATCCTATACATATTCTTGAGTGATTTGTATGGTCATAATATTGAATACCATCACATACCTAGAAACTCTGGCAAAGGACTAGACTTCTTCATTTTGGTCCATTTATGTGTGTATTTACATTATAATGTTACACTCCAGCAAATTCAAACATCAATGATGGAAAAGCTACAGTTTGTAGATCACTTTCATGAGTTCACTAGGGTTTCCCATCGTTGTCCATCTCTATTTCTTATGACCGGAGGGATTGGTTGGTTCCTCCCAGGAGGCCCCATTCCACTAGGCCCCTAGTTCTGTCGATACGTGCAGCCTTTAAGGTCTCCCTGCCTGACATCCATGCCAAGAAGCATGGCCAATGACCCGGGACCTAATACAACCATGGTTGCAGCTGCGTCGGACCAGTCGGTAGGTCTGGTAGACCTCTTAGGCGAACAAACAATAACAAACATAAGAAGATACTGGTAGATACATGTAGATACTGGGTATGGTTCCATCTTGAACAAACGAAGAATCCCAAGAATGGAGTGGAACTTGCAACGGAAGCTCGTCCCTGTCTCTCTGTTGAAATGCCCCCATGCTTGCTTGTTCAAGACATTTAGGTCTACACAGACGTCGGAACAAAGCCCCCCGGCTTTCTCCTGAAGACATTGTGTGTGTGTGTGTGGCACAACCCTTTTGTATACCCTTTGGTGACCTAACTTTCTATGAAAAATCTGAATTTTCGATGTAAGACATTAGAATCATTAGATAGCGTGTTTTCCATTTCCAGGTTGAATCACCACATAGGCTACTCGCTGTTTCTCGCTGTTTCAAACAGCCTGGTGGGGATTGATTTGATAGCAGCTGATAGCAGCTCAGACGGCATTTGCTAAAAGCAAATCACTTGCCAACGTCGCAGTGCCGCGCGAGCCACCGAATCTTGCGTTTGTTTGTTTCACCCGACACGCCATCTATGTTTTCACAGGCCCTATTGCTGTTCTACAGCTTCCCAAAAAATCGGCCTATTAAATCCTATTAACTAGTTTGGGGTGACGGACATGTTTCAGACATGCTTTCATACTCTAGACAGCGGTGTCCCAATTCCAGATCATGTTCGCAGCCAGCCCCACGAATGTGGTGAGCTTGGCACTAAAAGGGCCGGGAGACACGATGGCTTCAGTCCAACATATTGGAGCCACAAAGGTGCCGTTTTTCAGAGCCTTTCTGCAGTGCATTAATGATCATTAATGGATAGAATCGTGTTTTTTGTATGTTTTTGTAAGATAGTCGCCATGTTTCTGTACCACGCATGCAATTCTAATTGTATGTCCATTAAGGCCTAGGAGTTTATGATGTTGAAGAAAGGTTGGCTGTCAATCAGCTGACACCTGCACCATGATTAGGCCTCAAATAGAATCAAACACCGAGTAATGTGGCAAACCCAGTGCCAAACTCCCTTTCCCGGGGAATGGTGTGTAATATCCCATAAATGGTTAGAGTTGGTCAATGGGTTATGGCTGATCCTGGGTTGTTTGGCACATGCTACACGTTGAAGCCTACAGGCTGTTGAAGAAGACTGCTTCTACCTGATATAGAGTGTTTGAAGTAAACGTATTTGATGCAGGGTTGCATGTGACTCTTGGGATGAACACCCCAGATATCATCATAACATCATAGATGGCATCATGATGAGATGCTTTGACATAGGGGTGCCACACTGGTATTTGGATGTATTTGCTGGCTTTTGTCCTGGAGCTCAGGGTTGAGTGCTCTTTAGCTGCACATTGGGGTCAGAATTCCATGGTATGTAGACTACGTAGACTCGCTGAACCCACTTCAAGGTGGTTCCAAATGTTTTCTCACCGGGGTCCGGTGCCTCCCAACCACGGATGCCTCTTGTGTAACTTACCTATCGCGGCAGAAGTTCATCCGCACAACCACGCAAATTACAGTGTTCGTATGCGAATGGATAGAACACACACATATATAATATATTATAGTATATATAATATTATATATATATATATATATGTGTGTGTGTGTTATTTACATATCATATATCTTGTACAAGTTGTTTTATATGTATATCAACTGCGTCAAATGTTTGCAACCAGTCCTGGTTTTCAAGAAATGCCGACCGTGTTTTCATCCAGCCTGCGCAGGGATGCATCCAGTTTGGTGGTCTGCGTGGACATCTATGATCGTCCGTTCAGTCAGAGGGGTTCTGGGGTCGGGTTTGTGCCCCCATCAATGAGAGTAGGTGGATCCGGGGACACAGACCATCACAGACCTGCCATGCCAATGCTTTAGCCATATCGTATAATATATATATATATATCCGTGTGCATTGTATTTATGTGTTGTATAGTATCAATCTTTGTTATATACATCATTCCGGTGATTCATGTACATATATATATATATTGTCTATTTTGTTCCCTGCCATTCTTGAGATGTAAAAGGTACCAGGTATGTAAAAGGTACCTTGTATGTAAAATTTGCTTCACCCGATAGATGCAGTGGGCTTGGGCACAATGACGCGATATTTTTTAGAATTGTGACCATAGAACTTCAGAATAGAGCAGTGTCAGACGGAACCATCCAGAATCATCTTAGATGTACCCTTTGATAATTATAGCTCTGGAAAATCACGACTTGTAATAGGTAAATCCTGCACAAATGGTCCATATATACCATAGCTTTGTCAAATCAGAAGTTTTTTTTTGTTGATTGCAACTCTCCACGTGATGTGCTCAGGGGCCACCCTTTGTCCATCCCCAATCTGAGTTCCCAGAATTGGGATAAGAGAAATTGTAAACCCTCATTGGTGGTAAAAACATGTAAAATCATATGTTGGTTTTTTCAAGTTTATGATTGCCTTGAGGTATTTCAGCAATTTGGGGCCATTTGGGGCCCAAACAATTATCCTACAATGATGCGACATATTTATATACACAATTGAGTTGGTTGAATCATGATCCAGGGGTGAACTAAGCAGGTGCACCCAGCTTGAACCCAAGCAGAGTGACCCAGGTGAAGCAAAGGATGGCCTGGACAAGTTCTTGTGCCGTGGTGAAGCTCAGAGAAGCAGCCGATTTGAAGGGTTTCCAATCAGTAATGGCCATAGTTTCAAAACAGGAGGGCCATGAACATTGTTTGATTTGAAAGCCACGCAAGAACAAACAACCATACATAATATAACAATATGTTGGCATCTTAGGTGAATCATTTCGGAGGTTGATCCATGACTCACCAAAAAACGTTGGGGCGCCTCAGGTGGTTCTGTGCCCTTTAGAGAGGCATGGGAAGAACCTCGGCATGATGGACATGATGCTGGATGGGGCGGGTGGTTGGAGAAACGCTCAGGGAGTAAGACATGAAGGACAAGTACAGGACAGTAAGTGATAAAAAGTGGGAAAGTGGTAAGTAGAAGTACAAGGCGCACAATCTGAGCCCTTCCAGGCAAAATTATTTCACAAAGCCAGCATCACCTTCGATTTTTCTGCTGCCATTCGTGGGAAAAGACCTGACCATATTCCGGATCACCCAGTATTTATGTGTAAATGTTCATTGCGGTCGACCTGAAGTCACGGCTTCCCGCTACACTGTAAATGTTCGCCAGCATAGACATGATGGTACGTTATATTCTGGTTGGTGGTTTGGAACCTTTTTTTACTTTTCCATATAATATTGGGAATAGTAACCCCAACAGACTAATATTTTTCAGAGGGTGGCTCAACCACCAACCAGTATTTAATGTCAGTTTTTCAAGGCACATAGCTGCAGCGTTCGCGCAGATGCTGAGGCCACGAAAGTCAGCAAGGGCTTCAGCACACCAAAGACCGTGGACTTAACGCCCCGCCGGCACGGCTTCGATGGGCAGCGGCTAAGCGGCTAAGCCTTGAGCGATGGAACATGATGAGTAGATTCTACGCAGATTGTGAAGCAGCCAGTATTTGTTTTTAAATACTCAGCTTTATAATGTTGATCATGTATGATTATGTGCCCAATGGGTATTTTTATCTATTTTTTTATCATAGCCGCATTCTGATCATTCTGTTTGGTAGCGCTCTCAAGACTCTGCAACATAATCTGATAGGTACAATGGAGATGAGTCATTGACAGTGCTTGTGGTCAAAATTTTCCCAGTGGACTTGGTGGCCGTTGCCAGATGTTGCCAGGCCGTCTGACGGTAAATTGCAGCTGAGTTTCAGCAGTGCAATAAACAAGGACCAGCGATCCGCCTTGAACCTTGGTCAAAAATGTGATGTCCCCGCACTTAGCACGTTGGATCGCCAGGATTACTTGATTGTCAACGTGCTAAGTGCCGACAAGTTGCCAGGGCGTCACTTGGTTTAGCAATTTCAGCTGTCACTAGGAAAGATATTGTAATTTTTTCCCATAGACTAACAGACATGCAGAGACTGCGAATTCTGGCAGTCCCCAGTGAATTGTCAGATGGAAATGTAGCACGACCATCCTGAGGCGAACCCTCTGGAGTGGCCAACGCGTGCACCGGCTACCAAGAACTACCAGGATTCAGCAAGCACTCCTATTGTAATCAGTATTCCTACCCGGATGGGGTACACTTGCCGAAGCTCACAATATGCGACGTATTTTACGTGCCTTGGATTTACCTGATATACCTTGATATCATGTGGGGCTGAAAAATCGTGAGCCTTCCACCGTCAGGTACTGCGTCGTGCGCTTGGCAGACCTGGGGCAACTGGGAGATCCTACGGATCAGGCAGCGGTCCTAATCCTCCACAGCTAATAGAGCTTTGATGCTTTGTGTATATCAAAATGATGAACATGTTTGCATGTTTGCATATCCAACCTTGGATGGGTAGTTTGATCCTTTGGTATCTTTAGTCGTTTGCTATAAATGGACACAACCATAACCAGCTCCCAAAAAAAAATCAACGCAATTGTGGACTACCAAAGGTTTACCTTTTTGATTTGCTGATGTTTGCTGAAGATTATTAGGGATCAATTTTCAGTGCATGCTTTGCGACCTCACCATGTTGTCACTATTGTCACTCTGTGAGGCATCCGCATCATTGCCTTCCGTTGGGGACTCCTAGAGCAAATGGGGATTCCTCTTTTATGCCAGATTGGTGGTCAGACTAAAAAGCGACCTTGTCCGGCAATGAAGAAGCGTCGATAGTGACTTAGTGCCAATCATCAAAACCCGCTACTTGGAGCCTTGAAATCACTCCACTAAGGGAGGAACGGGCTTTCACGGACAATCGTTGTTCCTCAAACTTCTTTGGGCAGTTAAACCTGCCCGGGATTTCGGACACAGCTGCCTTCATGCCCAGGCAGCCTCAATGCCGGGTGACTTTCTCGACGCCTCCAGGAGTTTGCTTGTTCAGCAGGAGGCACCTTTGGGCAGCGTCTCCTGAGCACGTAGCAGCACTGGTTCCATGGTGGATTTGACATGGATTCGACACATGGGACAGACGAGTTTGGCCTAATTTAGTGCTGTTTCAGACGTGAATTCCGATCCCTTTCAGATTTTTCAGCCATGTTCAGCCAATTTTACGTGTGATTTACGGCTTGGAATATCCATCATGTGACCATTTGGTTGACAGAAAGTTTGTACTAGTTGTTGATAATTAGTGTGGACCTAGTGGTTTTTCCTCTTCGTTATGAAGCGGCACGCAACTAAATTCACCAATTCTGCAAGGCAGCGCCAGCAAACCCAGTTTGCGCTAGTTTTTTTTTTTTTTTCACGCCCATGTTCAAGGATATTTTTTTGTGTGTCCTGTCTGCTTGTTCTTTCAACATGAAGGAAAGTCAAGATGTAACGCCTAGCTCCTTAAACCTGATGATGTCTTAGTGAATTTCTGTGCTACTCAACAATTTCAATTTTGCGAATTTGTACGTAATTTTACCCGCTAGATCCCCGCTAGCAATGCTAGCAAAAGTTTCAAAAAACGGCTTTGGCTGACCCGTGACCCAGTCGCCACCAGAGAACTTGTAGTTTATCTTGTTTGTTTGACAAAAGCAACATTGACAGCAAAGGCAACGACAAGCCCTGCAGATATGTTCCAGTTCCGCCACTAATAACTAGCAGCGGCACCCACTTCATATGGACGTGCGTTAGCATTTACTGCAGGTTTTAGCTCCGGCTTCAAAAAAGAAAGATAAAATGCAGGGTTTCAGACTATTGATATAAGATGATATAAGTAAGTCATGGGTTTAAAAACCAAATAAGAAGCTGCAAGGAACTACGCTTTATCAACCAAACCAGGAAAGACATTTTGGCAAAACCGTCATGTGCAAACCCGCGCCAGGATGTGCTGGACCTTCCCGGGGCGCCTCGGATGAGTTTGATATGGGAGTGCCATCGATTGGAGATGATCCCCGAAGATGACAATAACAGCATTTATAGTTTGCACATGTTTTCATCATGTTTTCTTTTCCCCATCTAGATGGTAATTCCAGGATTCTACAATATACATTAATCATGATGAATATACAGTATACATAATTCTTCGCCGAACGTGGTTTGGTTTTCAAACTGGTGGTTTGATTTGTTCTATAATTGTATATATAATATACATATATATATATAATTTAATTGTTGTTGATCAAGTTCGGTTCGTTTGGTTTCAAATCACCTTTCCACTTTCCATTTCACAGCTGAGAGATCCTGATATATTCTGATGCCCGGGTTAGCCGCTAGCCTGCGGCACTTGGCTTTCGACTGTGATGTTGCCAGATGTTGCAACAGATCAACAGTGTGCAGGAACATATTGACTGAGGCTTGTCAAGACGGTTTGGTTGCAGTTCGGAACTCAGACATTGAGAGACTTTGATGACTTTGGTTCCGCCTGCTAAACCATGGGAGTTGATTCTGCAGGTGCCTATTTTCAGAGAAAACAATAGATAACGTTGCCTTGTATTGAGTTTTATGGATTTTTATGGAGCATATTTGGTCTGTGCAAGCTGACCAGCAGATATTTATGAATATGATTAAGTGTGGCGTTTGGCATCGCTTGGCTTATTTGTGCTTGTTGGCTCAATTTAATATTGATTAGTTTGCACCGGTTTGCACCTGAAAGTCCTCAATGATGGATCAAACAAATTGCCAACCGGGTGCAGAGCTATGTCTGTAAATAATTGTAAATTATAATAAATTATAAATATTCTAAATGGCGTATTAACATTAGACATTGAGGCAAGACATTCGCCCCAACTGCTTTCAAATGCTTTCTCATGACTCATGACCCACAGAATCCGAATCCATCAGCATCGATTGCTGTTGCTTTTAAGACTATGATGTTACCCGCACGCCGCCGCTATGCCAGCCTGCTTCTCCTCGCCAGCGCGGGTTTGATCGCATTTGTTGGGCCCAGACAGCAGCCGGAGCGGTTGTCGCACACAGCACGGAACGGAGCCAGAAGTGTGTCTCGGTTCATTCTTCAAGGTTGGGCACACAGGATGGATTGGGCAGGACAGGGTAATTACATGTAATTACAGTACCGCGATGTACCGCGAACTTACCCAGAAATTTGATGTTACTTGTGGCAGCCGGACTGTTGCAGCCTTGGCCAGGGATGAGAAGACCGTCCGATCCCAAAATGTAAAGGATGATCAGGATATAACGATGCAATTGAGATTCTCAAGCCCCGATGAAGCCTGTGATTAGCAGGTTTCTCCGAGGTTTCCTCTAAAGGATCGTTTTTTCCAGCCTTCAGGGCCTCATGTCAGACATTTATCACAATTTATCAGTTTACCACAGGCTGATTAGACATGTTGAGACGATGTTAGATACGCCATGATACGCCCGAAGACTCGCAAAACTCTACTTTTGATACCTCACAGCGTCACACATCAGCTGAGGTGATGGAATCGTTCTATTCCGCAGTCAACGGTCGAGATTTGGAAACAGCTTTGATTCTCGATTTTGTCAGCTGTTGATTTCTTTGTGAGCTTTGGAAACCACTTACTCCATGGATCTCCATGGTGCATGGTCACTTATTCACTTTATATTTATCATATCCCTGATTTTTGCAACAGTGCCACACAAAGATATTTCTCTGGGGTCAGCGTCCAAGGGTCTTTGGCACTTACCTGAGCGGAGGAATATGGTGGATGATGATGTGCTCTACGAAGACTTCACATTTCAGGCTCCCTGCCCACTTTGATTAATGGGCCATGGCGTGTTCTTTTTTTGTTAGATTAGCTCATCGTAAGTGCAATACATATCAATATTATATAATTATATATATATATATATCAATCCTATGATCCCCACCTAATCTGAATCGATTCTTTTCTTTGGATCCCTTGGACAAGAACATTAGTTGCTTAGTTGTCACCGTCATCACCCTACCAACCCGGGACCAAGCCCCTGGACAGGAGCCCTTCCGTGGCCGTGAAGGCGTGCGGGAGTTGCTTTCCGATGCCATGTCCTTACCCAAGGTGCGGCGACGAAATGAGCAGACCCATCAACGATGATATGGAACGATATGGACGGTGCAAAAGGATGGAAAAAGCGGATCTGTGGAATTGTTTGCGTATGTGCATGTTTGATTCTTCTACTAGCTTCTAGCTCTGAAGATCTCAACTTAAGGTATTGCAGGGAATCAACACACATATTTCTACTCTACATTGCAGGACTTCTAGCATAAACCTGACAGAGTTAGACACTAGCTAACACATCCACGGATTTACAGCCTCAGGTGAGCTGACTTCACCCAGATAAAGTCGAATGTTATGTGGCCTTTTTGCCAGGTCAATGACCACTTGAAACCAAGCATTCACACAAAGAGATGAACTTCCACCCTGCATTGTTCAGTAGAAGGACCGCAAAACCTCTGGATGCCACTATGTAGAATTTACTCTTAGATAATGCTATTTTTTGTTCGTTCTTTTGCTTGCCCATTCCAGTTAATCCGCAACACACACACACACATTTGGATCATTGGGTGAATTTAGGATGCACGCCATGAGATGTGAATTGTGCATACTATGACATGCGGCATGGCTGACAGCAGCACACATCAAGGGGTGAGGTAAGGGTGGTAAACCATGGTAAACCAAGCTTAAGTGCCGACCTACGTGCTACATGTACGGTCATGTACATACAGATTCGCAATCAGGCATAACAAGATAACAAGCACATCTCAGATTGTTGTCACATCACCAGGGTTTAGACTTCATCATCGACGACGTAGCGGGTGGCGATTCCTGGAGTGGTGACGATGCTGTTGGGATGACATGGCACCTCCCGCTGGGAGTTTGGCATACCCTGTGGGACTTGGAAGATCCATGAAATCCATTGAAATCCTCTAAATCTTCGTTACATTACCATGTTGGAAGACTGTAGCGTAGGTTTGGGCCCTGGGTCACTCAAAGTTTGTCGGTCGACAATGAATGGTAGGTCCTGCATTTGGTGCTTTGTTGTGAAAGGGACTTGTTGCCATCCTTTCCCCTACTCTGCGACTGTGAAAAACAAGGCTTCCAAAAACAACAGGCTAAGAGGAGGAGACATAATCTATTTATCGCATGCTCCTCGCTGCAACCCTGTACCATCCTGTTATATCTCGTTTCTTGGCCTCGCTACCTTTGCCCCAACTAGAACCACCAGAATAATCCAGAATACCCTTTGAATCCCTTTGATATGTTCGATTCCTTTGATTACTTCTGAATGATTTATATATAGTTGAATGTGTCCCTCTCGTTGCAAGGAAGCAGTAGATAAAGGGACAGGCCAGGAATCTAATTTGTGAAAATTCTGGCATTTCCAGTGTCTTTAGGCATGTGGAGTTCGACGGCGTCCCACTGCCCAACAGCCGCGGCGCTTCCCTGTACAAGACGAAGAATGGCCCCTCGCCACAGCAGGGCGGAATCTATTTCATATTTGAAGCATCATTTGTTTGCATCAAAGGAGGGAAGCGAAAGGAAAAAGCCTCACGTATTTTTCCAGGTCGCGAACCTCTGCTATAAAATTGTTCAGTAATTAGAGATGAGACACAACCATCGGCATCAACGCACCAGCAGTGAATTTACATGTTGTGGGACATGGGATCGCAGCAACTGGTTTCGGTGCTGTCAGGTCCAATGGATTGCAATGGGCTTTGGATTGGGATTTTGCTTGATTCGTGGCTCATGGTAACTAACTCAGACTCTATATATAGTTATATTCTCATATATGATGCATCGCTTAATCGCGGATTTTGCGCCTTCATGAGCCTTCCCATACATTACATTTGTTGTAGAAAGTGAGTTAATTAGTTAGAACCCGACACAGTTGAGTCACCGTTGTGAGACCGAGTGCTCCCAGGAAAACTGTCCTATGCACGAGACATTGTGGAGTCGCCCTTGAAGCAGCTCGATGGTGCAATTTTGGCACCATCAACATTACATGATAGTCAAAGGGAGTCAAAGGGGTCAAACCATAAAAGTTATAGATACTTCTAGTGGCAGTTATAGAAACATTTAGTGTAAACAAGTCAGTTGGGCATGTTGAGCCAAGAATGGTTACGATGCCATCCAAGTTTTTGCTCAGGCATATGCGTAAGCTTGCCTCAAAAAGTGCTCAGTAGTGTCTTGAAATAGTATGGGCATAATTGAAGTCCTAGGAGTGTTGAGGAAGCCCATGGCTTGCCACAGGTATTGCAACACTGGCCCAAGAAAAGGTGAAGATATGATGACAATACTGCAATCAGACGTGGCAATTGAACATCCCCCATGTATAGATGAATGTCCCATCAAAACTTCCATTTATATATGCGGGACTGTCGCCATATTCGATTCCTGGGTAATTGAAACAGTGCACTTTGTTGATGGAGCCATCCGGGGGCCCATGGGGGCCCTGAAGGCTTGGCAGTGCAGCTCTGGGTATCGTTGGCTTCATTGCAACTTTGGTCAGGCACCGACTTGTCGCTTTCATGCTGTATACGTGGATGGCTAGCCTCGGCTGGCGTTGTCCGAAAATTGGGTGGCCAAGAAAATGATCAAAATTGCTGTGATTTGCTGTGGTTTATTATATGGTTAACCTATGTTAACCTCATGTAAAGAAATGAAGAAATGTAGCTTTGGAAGTCTGAAGTAAATCCCTAATTTTAGGCAACAAATAGCGAAGCCGCAGCTTGGCCGAGCTCCCCCTGCGCTACAGGTCTTCCAAGCAAGGATTGGCTGGAAGCTTCGTGGCGTTTGCCACCGCTGCAAGTCTCTATTGGTACCTTGTTGGAGAAAAAACCGGTCATTCTGCATGCGAAGACTTACAATGATTGCGAATATGATTGCTGACACAGTAGATTTGATATAATTTGATTTATGGCCCATTCCCACACAAACCCATGAAGTTGAGAATTTGGACTTAACATGCAGAAGGAGGCTATTCCAAGCAATAAGCTCAACAAGCATAGAAACTGATGAATCATTACGTACCATTTGGGGCACAACGTTGACCCACAGCCGCAGCCAAGGGTGGCTTTCCAAGGTATGTACTGCTACTGTCTCCTCAAGGTCAATTTCCTTTCCTCGGTGGTCCTCCTGCATGGGCCATTGATGACACCACCCTGCCCAACGTCATTGCGACTGGGCGCTGCATGGCCCAGTGGTTGATCAATAGCAGAAAGGGATAGAACTAACACTTGGTCCTGTTGGTGCTCCTTAGCAGAATCCTTAGCATCCTTTAGGTCTTATTAGTTGGAATTTCATTGGAATACTGGCATCCGCCCCGTCCAAAAGGTCCAAAGCATAAGGATCTTAATCCTAAGGATCTTAATCATTTCATAGCTGAAGTTGAAAACCCAATAGTCCTGTGTATGCTTGGATACTTTTCAAAACACCTCTGGAAATGTCACTCGATTCCATGAAGCTGGATCTAGCTGGATCAAGTGTCGAGGAAACGGCAGCATCTTGTGGCCAGGTCCTTGTTATTCAAAATTGGAATCACTTGCAAACCTGAAAATCTCCAGCACTCAGCTGTTTTCTAGAATCTGAGGATGAATCATTGAATTTCTTCTACATTTGGCCTGGTTTGGACTCTATCGGTTCCTCGGCATTGAACCTTCGCATGCTGGGCAGGAGAAGCTGAAGCAAGCGTGCCGTTGGCTCTGAGACTTGCCACTCTTTTGAATCTCACAATGCCAATGCCAGTCTCATCATGTACTTGCCATCCAAGAGCAAGAACAGCTTTAAATTTCCACCAAATAATCCAAAAAAGGGCGTAGTACATGAGCAATGGTCATAATGGTCGCATGATGTCGCATGCACCTCATGTATCCTCATGTTATTTTCAGGTTTGCCAAGCCCAAGCACCTTGGGGATTGCTTTGCCGGAGGTGGATGCTATGAGACTAGTTCCCCGGCGCTGGGGATTTGATTGTTGCTGTGGGGATTGACGTGGGGATGGGTCAAAACCTATAATTTTCCAACATTTTCCATATCATGGGGGATGGGTTGAAAGTACCTATATTTAACACCATATTTGGGTATGAACATCCATAAATCCCAGCTATTTCCCAGCTATTTTGATATTCTGCAGGACACCAGGCTTTCGATGCATAGTCAAATGGATGAAATTCCCAGCAGCTGAGGCCCTCTTCAACCTGGCTGATGCTTGGTCGATGCTGGGGTGGTCCTTTGCGGTACTTTCATGTGTTTGATGCACTGCTTGCCAAATTTGCCAAGGAAGCATATGCCTTTATGCTGCTACCATTGTTATTATGGGATCGTCCTCAACGAAATGTCTACAACTGGTGGGTGCCTGCGATGTTTCTGACCAATGCGTTGCGCAACTGCAGGGAGACGGGGAGCCCCAGAGTTGCAAGAGGAAATTTCTCGAATGAAAGTTGATTAGGCATCGGTTAGCCACTATTTTGCAGATCTGGTTTGAAATTGACACAACGTTCCAAGAAGGTATTATGTTCTATCTCTTTCTCATAAGTTGGATGGATGGGCTGCAAGCATGACAGAATGTTTTCACTAAACTACGCCACAGAGAGAGAAACATGTTCTCTTTAGTGAAGGTGACTTCTCCTATGAAGAGCCTTTGAATCATGCACCATATGTCAAGAACAACAATGTGACTTTGGTGGACGCATTTTTTGGAGTCATGAAGAGATACATACATAGTACCATTAGTTTTTTTTTGGGTGGCAATCTTGGGAAGATGGTATGCCGGAAGAAGTGACATGAAGTGACTGCATAGACAGAACAACCTTCGTGCACATCAAGGATTCTTCTGCCGTACTTTGCGACCCGAGCCCTGGCAACTTGACCACAAGGGCAGGGCAACACAAAAGCTGCAGTTCTGCAACTTTTTTTTGGGGATCACCACGGGGCCAAGGGCTTCGGCTTCGGCAGGGCCCATCAAGCAGCTCCTGGGAGGGCAGATGGTGGTGGATTGGTCACCTCCAAATTCTGTTGATAAAAACCATGTGAAGTCACGAATTTTGCTTGCTGTGTTCCTTGATTCCTTGATTGCTTGCAATATCACCAGTTTTGTTGCACATATGTTCTCTCGATTCTGACATGACACCCATCCCTCATGAACACAACATTGAAAAATGATACTTAAGAGGTTTATAAATACTTACTGTATAACTTATACCCAGGTCTATTCATATGAATCCCTGCAGAAGATTTGGTTACAGATCAGTTATGCAGCATTGGTTAGATAAATGAATAAATACACGCACACACACACACACGCATATATATATATAATATTAGATATACATTGTCGTAATATATGTTACAGATAATGTTACAGCTAATATAATATAATATATATATAGGGTGGATCAACTAAATATTATGTTATAGTTTATTGGCAGTGATGAGAATGTCAGAACCAAGGCCCCAGCACCAGCAGAACGACAGAAGCCCAGCTGGTCCCCTCTCTTTGGAATCTTGGCGTTGCTGGTGGTGGCTGTGGCGATTTGGCAGTCCTGGGGCCTTTATGTTACTTGGCGGATGATTGGATAACAGCGTCACCTTTCGCAAGAAGAATCCAAATAAGCCAAACACGTCGAACAAATTGAAGTACTTTATTCATGATAGTTCTGTGTGCAGTAAAATCACGTTAAAATCTTTTCCTTTGGGACCAATATGACACAGAACCGGATCAGTCAAGGCTGGCTTGCCATCCTTGCTGCTGGGAGATCGGGTTGCTTTCGCCTTTGCTGTGGACGCAAGTCTCTTCGCCCTCCTGCAAGCGTTGCCCAGCTGCAGGGAGGTGGCCAGCGCTAACTTGGCCCAGAGGGGCTAATCCCATCCAACTATATAGTATGACATTCTACCCATGTGGGCCCCAAAAATGAACATATCCAATATTACAGTAAATCAGGGTTACTAAATCAGGGTTTCCAGGGTGGTGATTGATATTTGATGATAGTTGGGGGGAATGATTATTTCAGAACCCTACGTTTCATGGGGCTGTCATATTTATTTGCAATACTGCGTGATGTTGAGTGCCAATTATGGAAAATATGGGCCGGCAGCACCTTTTATTTGGGTTAGCAATGTTAGCAACTGAATACACAGAAGATACAGAAGGTAGTCAAAAGTGTTCATACTGGTGGATTTTGGTCAATGGCTATCAGGGCGTGGCCTTTTTACACGCCTAGTAAAGATATGATAAAAATCATTGATTCCTGGGTAGTCTCACGAGCTGCTTCCAGCATCCATTCGGCTCGGCTTGGGATGTGGCAACATCATCTTTTGGCATCGCAGGTATGTGTTCGCTGAAACTTCTGGGCCTGCTTGGCGCTTTGTACCCTGGAAGCAAGAAACCCGATGGCGGCTTGGGTCGCGTCTGCGGGGTTGGAAGTTGAAAACCGTCGCCCCAATAAACAAGGCATTTCTACAACTGCATTTAAACAACAGCGGGTGTCATGGTGGACAGGTGCCATTTTTCGGCTTGGCGGCGTGGCTCATTCTTCCAGAAGAGCAAGGCGGGTCCTTGGTGCATTCGATGCGTTGCTTCTCCACTTGGATCCCTGGGTATGTCTAAAAAATCAGAGACCCCAACATCCACCAGTTGGGAGGTCTTTCTTGGAGCAGAAAGACATTTTGGTTTATGGGAGGTTGGGGGTTCTTCCTTTAAATCGCGAAAATCTCCAGACGGTCGATTTCAGTTGGGGAAACATGGGGAAACCAACCAGTTGCTGGTGTTTTTTCGACAACCAGACTGACCTTATCGTACTTATCATCCACATTTTGCAGGTTAGTATCCCCCAGACTCACCAATGATCCATGATTGTCCATGATTATCCTATATATTCGATCGTGTTCATTGGATTTCCCGCAGATTTCCATGGGGAATTTCACGATCGTTTTCATTGGATTTCCCGAAGAATTCATGGGAATCTCCATAGATACCCTCTGGTAATTTAACGTAGCTATTGAAAATGGCCATTTATAGTGGATTTAACCATTAAAAATGGTGATTTTCAATAGCTATGTTAGTTTACCAGAGGGTACCTATCATTGGATTTCGATGGTGAATCTCCCCACCCAAAGTGTTCCCGCTCCCGGCAGAAGTGCGCAGCGAGCCGCTTCCTGCCTGAGAGGGACTGGGCTTTTGGGATAGAAATGGCATTGGAGAGCTATAAGTTATAACTTATAATGTAATGTTATAAGATATATATATATATACAGTATATCCTTTAATTAGTGGTACTATATATATATATATATATGTATTAATTAGTGGTACTTTTTTTCCCTCTAGGCATCCAGTTGCTGTCGCAGCGGCCTATTGCAGAGTTCAATTCCCCGTGCCTCATCGCTTTGCCACAAAATCGGCCCCAATGTGTGTGCCGTAATGCGTGGCACAAAGATGGTTCCACAACTGGAGTTCCGATGGCAGCGGTTCCTGTGCTTGGCACTGCGGGAAAGAACTAATTACATTGGACAGCACCTCAGCGATGGCAGCACACATCGCAGGAGGATATTCCTTAAGTGGCGCTGTTCGCCACGCCCCTGACGAATCATTACCAATGGCCGAGCTTTTCGGAAGCTCACTGCACACTCGCCACTGGTGAAGGGCCAAAATCATGTTTGGTAAATTCAAAAGCAATAGCTGCGTCGGCTTCGGCGACGGAGCTCCAAGGAGGCCCTGCGCGAAGCGGCACGTCTCCACATTTGGGTGGCGCTGCAATGCTTGGACAATGGGCAGCTTCCAAATGCTCGGGGAGGTCTGTTTCGGCGGCGGCGCAGGGTGCTCCAAAAGACCGCATCCACCAGTGGCCATGAGCTCGATGAAGGCCTGTAGCGCGAAAATCAGGAGCTCATTGCCAATGCAAACCTGGCAGAGCTCGCGGAGCTGCATGCAAAAGAGCCCCCACAACTCCTCTGCGCTCCTGACCGGCCGCGGTCCTCGTCTGCCGTCTTGTAATTGGTGTTCTCTGGCAGCTGTCCACGTTTCGCACGGGGGGCCAGCAATGAACGCCACCACCTTGCGATCCCGAATTGCTGTAAGCCAGTAATTGCGAGTCGCTTCATTGCGGGCATCGCCATACTGGGCGTCGATGACGATGTCCATGGATACTATGTGGAGCACATAGTTGTCGAGGCCTTGAGCTTGGTGGAAATGTTCCAAAAAGTATTGGAGGTCTCCTGGCCGGCGTCGGCCTGAGTACGCGTGTAAGAGAACTCGATGTCGTCCAAAGCTGGCTGGGCTACTGCAGGGAGATTCCTCACTTGGTCCGGGAGCCTCCAAACAACTCTGTTCCAGCTCTGCCAACGTCTCGGGCGTATGATACTTGGACAGTTGGGCTTCCATGAAGGGGAATGTCTCGGGATCCCGAAGGCTCTCCAGAGTTTTCTTCAAGTCCTCCACGGCAATGCCAGCAAACTGTCCGTCCTCAATGTTAAAGGCCTCCTCGAAGAACCAAAGTGTACTGGTCCACAAAGTCCATGAAATGGCGTTGTCGGTGGCAAAGGTGCGCGCAATGTGCTCAAAGTTCACCAAGCACATGCTAGGTACGACCAGGTCCGTTAAGAAGATGAAGAGATCGTGATGGATCTTCGGATCTTCGCGAAGTCTCGGTGCCTGGTTGTGTGGACCAGCTGCTTGAACAGGTGGGAGCAATCGATCATGCTGATCTTGGAGTTTTCTGTCAGTCGTGGACCCTGCGCCTGGTGCCATTTCCGCTGTTGGCGGTCTGCTCTGCAAAATGCTGCGGCAGCGTGCAGAGTAGTACAAAGGCGCCTGCGTCTTCTGCATTGTGTGAAAGACGCGTAGGCACGCCGGGCAGGTCGGCTCTGAGATGAACTTCCTCACATCTGCAGTGTGGCCATGCACGCGGAACATGTGTGCTGCTTCCCCTGCCTTCGTTGCGCAGCGAATACGGCAGTGAAGGCACCCAAACCACGTTGGAGATTGCTTCTCTTCTGCCGCATGCTTCATCACCTCAAAAGGCCCAAGGACTGTTTGTAGTCGTTCAACAGCATAAAGGTGGAATTCCCGCACTTTCCATACTCTCTGCTGCTGCATGACTTCATGTGCAGTGGCTCGTCTCACCAGGCGCTTCCAAAACTTCGGATGGCATCGAATGATGCGGGTCCAATAGGCAAAGTCAACCTTAGGATCTGGAAGGTCGGAGCTTCTCTGGAGCTGCCCCCACATCCATTCAATGTCCTTTTCCAGGTATGCGCACCAATCAATGTCTTCTGAAAAGAAGCCCCAATCTTGCGGAGTTCCACAACGAAATAGGGTTCCAAGGTACCGCAGTCTCTGTCTCCGTAGCAGCGTATCTGGAGAAGGAAGACCAACTTCTGCAAGGATCTTCTCTGTGCACCAGTGCTGATCGCGGGGCAGTTTCAAAAGCCTGCGATACAATTTGAGAATGGCTGCATGAAACATTTTGACAGTGCGGTCATCTGTGATCAACCAGCTTTCAGAACCGTAGAGCATTTTGGTCACGATGAGGATCTGGAAGAGCTCACATCGCTTGGGTAGCGGTATCTGTTGGTTATGATACAGCACCTTCCTGTGTTGGTTGAACGCAGCATGTGCCAACGCCAATCTGCGTTTGACTTCGGTGCGCTGATCTGGCCCATGATGTAAAAGCCCTCCCAAATGTAAATACTTGTTGGTGATGGGCATGTCATAGGCTTGGTGTTCTGTAAGGATTGGGAGCGTCAACGTTGCATGCGGGCCGAAGAGCTCAATTTTGTGTTTGCGTGAGTTGCGACCTCGCAGGCTGAGCAATATCTCCGATTTGCCTCTCTTGAGGTTGGGAGACATGCCATGTTCAATGCTCAACTCCAGGAGTTTGCCAGCTGTCTGTGTGACCTTGGCGAGCAGCTCTGGCACATTCTTGCCCCGAACGCAGACTGCGGTGTCGTCCATCCACGTTGGGCCAATGAAGCTGGTGAGATCTCCAGTTTCTTCCGTAGCGCGTGCACTGCCGAAAAGGTCAAGTTGTGGGAGCTGCGGGTAATAGTCAGCTAGCCCTTGCTCTTCAATGTGGGTCTGCAAACGCAAGAGCACTCGAGCCCAGACGTAGCTGAAACACACGTCAGCAAAAGGGTCTCCAGGCCGGGAACCAAATTGCGTCTCCACCACATCCTTTTGCTCCTGCATCCAAAAGTGCGTATTGCTGTGTATGGCAGCTATACTTCTCTGGAGATGCTCTGGAAGTCCGGCCATATGGAGAGCATGAGGTCCATCAAGAAGCGTCCATAGCTCATGTAGAGCAGAATCTGGCATCTTCAGCTTGCAGAGAAAGGCCGCAAGGGTCTCGTCGCTGATGGTGCTGCTCATGCAGAGTGGTCGGAAGATTCGGTAAAAAGCTTCCGTAAGATCAACAAAGACCACAGCTGCACAATCTCCATGGCGTTGGGCATGTCGGAGATGCGCACGGACTTGATGAAGGCCATAAGTCACTGGCATCTTTCTCTTGCCACCGACCTGGTGCTTCTGCATGAACTTCTCGAATATATCAGCCTGGAAGGTTCTGATCGTTCGATGGATGGCTTTGCCGATTTGGCTGGAGATCAAAAGTGAACGGAAGGATTCACAGAGGTGTTTTGGTCCACGCCCCTTGTACGCTTGCACAAGTTTGCCCCCTTTGTAGGAGAGGTCCTCCTGTCCGTGTAGCAGTAACTTCCATAGTGCTGGGTAGACCTGAGCCGCCAGTTCCACAGGGAAGTAGTGGAGGAGTTCTCCTGGAAGATTGTCTGCCCCTTGGGCTTTGCCACATGCCGTGGATCTCATTGCCAGCTCGAGGTCAGTGAGCGTAGGCAAGGCAGAACAATCCAGCTGAATCTCAGTCTGCCGCTGCTGCTCAAGGTTGTCACGCCACCGTTGTCGCAAGGCTTCATAGGAGATTCGTTGTCCACCTTCCATACTTTGGAAAAAGCTGACCCAAGCACTGAGGGCTGCTTCCGGTGTCGTACAGGGCACTCCTTCAGAGTCATGGACCAGTGGAATGGTTTTCTGCTTGCACATTTTGACATTGGTAGGCCCGATGTAGCTACGCAAGCTGCGGAGAATACCAGATGCCGGTGTCGATGGAGGCATGTTGTCCAAACATTCACGCAGGTGAGTTTGTTTGGCCTGCTTCAATCCCTTCTGGAGCTTTTTGGAGTAGCTCTTGTACTCCGCCAGCAACTTGATTTTGCGACATTGCAAGGGTACATAGCAGTCCTCTTCCAACGTGGGGTCAAATGCGGACTGCCCCTGTTTCCATGCTTGTAGAACTTGTCGCAAAAGTGTTCGGTTCGTCTGCCGGTGGAGGTCATGGAGTCGCTGTTTGAGTTTGAGTTTGCGTGCGCGCCATGCCCAGAGCTCATCAGTAATGTAGGGCTTTTTGGCAACACTGGGCGCCTGTGTGCTCGACTTCATAGTTTTGTGAAGAGCTCTGGCCAGATGTTGTGCTTGTGCTTCGACATCCGAATGCCATGGGCAATGTGTCATGGTGGTCAACTGCTCCTTCATAAGCGAGCGCACTTCCGAACTATTCCAGTTGGGATGGCTCGTCTTCAGTTTGGCCGAAACAGCGGTGCTGACGGCAGACCATTCCAGTTGTAGCCCAATAGCCTTGTGGTCATCATTGGTTGTGCAAAGATCCATCGTTTCAATAACGCTGGAAAAGGTGCAGGCATGCTTCCAAATGCACGGGATGACTACATAGTCAATGCAGTGCTCCTTCTCACCATCTGGGCTCGTCCACGTAGTTCTGGGTCCATTGTGACACTCTAGAGTGGACGCCAGGCAAAGCCCATGTCGTTGGAGACAGGACCTGAACATGTCCGTGTTCGCACTGGTCGCCAATCCTGGTGTGAAAACCGTCAGGTTATCAGCTGCTCCAGGTGCTGCATTGGCATCGATCATCCAAATCCATGGCGTTCCATCATCGAGTTGGTCAATGAGGTGGTCGGTTTCATCCCACCACATTTGGCGCATGGCTCTGGTGTGACCACTGTGGGGAGCATGTGCGACAAAGAACCAACATACCAGCATATCCGCTTGACACCTCACAATGAGTCTTTGTGCATCTTTGTGGCAAACCTGGAAGTCCTGGACTTTGAGGAACTGTGGTTTTCGCCGACTGTCATGGCCGACTGGCTGTCGGAGGTTGACCCAAAGTTCCACTCCATACTGACCTCCACAGTGTCCAGCGCCTATTCGTAGGATATCATGAGAAGTGCTGAAAACTTCTTCGCTTCGGCCTTCCTGTACCCCAACCACATTGAGACAATGGGCCTTGACTTGTTCGAAGAGGTAGTACAGCTTGCCTCCATGCCCCATGGGCCCTTTGGAGATGGAGAGAACATTCATTGTGGCAATGCCAAGCTGGCATGCAATGATCGATGTCGTCTTCTTTTGATCACAGGTTGGGCTACCAGGCAATGCCGCAACTGGAAGTTCCGGTGCCGACACATGGAGCCCCTCCTTCCATGCAGGCAATCCACGATCTCGGGCAAACATGAGCCACAAATAAGGTAGAAAGTGGCGCCACTTCTGCATGTTCAGCTTCAGACGTCGATGATGAAAGCTGTTCTGTGCCTCTCGCTTGGCAACGTGATCAACAAACTCGTTGTATGGATCACCAGTGTGCGATCGTACATGGTGGATCTCGAGATGGTGCAAAGGTAGTCCAGCTTGTAGACATTGGAACGTACCACGCAGCAGTCGGTATGTCAAATCGGGCTCAGATGCACCAACCGTCCCCGCTGCTTGGCCTCCAGTGATTTGTGAATCAACACAAAATACGGTAGGCACAATGCTGTTTTGTGACAACCGCCACAATCCAGCCCACAAGAGCCCCTCTCGTTCCGCCACATCGGCACCGATGCGGGTTGATCCAACAAAGCAGGATCCCTGCGGGTCCGTTCGCACTGGATGTGCTTGCCAGCCAAGTGGGACAACGATGCTATCTGTGTCTGTGGTGTATCGCTCGCCCAGGACTATCATGGCCCATGTGTCTGGCATGGTCATTGCATCAGCAAACTCTGGTGTGAAGTGCTTGTTTTTTGTTTGTGATGAGCCATCAGTGAATATGAGCCATCGGTCCCATGCTTCGTCAAGCCGGCCTGGTTCACTGTTCGTGATGACCTCTTCGATGAATGAGGGCAGATCAAGTCCAGTGAAATCAGTGCACAGAGTGTCATTGCCGGCTTGGAGGAGCTCGACTATGTCATCTGAGTTGAAAGGCGTCTGAACCTGACATTGCGCAGGCAGCTCAGCAGTGACATCACGGGCAGGAAATAATGGGCTCGGTGTCTAAGAAGTAACCGCTCGTCTTGGCCACGATGTTTTGACCCGTGGTGGACGGTCATCACAAGCTACCGTTGGTGTACAATTCCAAAATCGGACTCTGCATAAACTGGGAAGGAGCATCTCAGTGGAGAGGATCACGGCCCGTTCATAGCCCAGTCGGTGGAGAAGCCTCATAAGATCTTTGTCATCAAGGGATCTTTCCGATGTGTGGAGAATGGAACCGTTCTCATCTTGTACATCATCGTGGCATAGCATGTAGTGGAGGTTGACTTCACCTTGATTCTCCTCAGCATTGAAGTAGAGATAGTCGCCACGGATGCCAAATCTGAAAACTGGACATCGCAGTCCCCAGTGTGCAAGCTCATCTGTGACACCTGACTCCTCTGAGTTCTTGGGGATCTCAATGAACTGTGGCATTGGCTGATGGTGATCAGCTGCTTTCACCTTCACCACTTCAATCTCAGAGATCAGTTGATCCAATGAAAGGGGAATCGGTGTCAATGCTGGCTCATCTAAATCTTGTTCCCATGCACTCATGGTTGCTGACGCAGGTCTAAGGCGAACCTGTGTCTGGATCATGGCAACATGCTGTGCTGGTTGTGCTGGTGCTGCAGGTGGTCTTTCAGAAAGTAGCAGAACAATGCCATAACCATGGCGACCTTGTAACGGCCGTCCAAGGATGAGTCTGTAGGCTCCATACCATCCATCGCATTGCCTGTCTGCACCTGCCATCAAACAGCGATAGGTGAGCCCCAAGCTATGGATGAACTGCTCCAGGAAGATGTGTTCCCATGTGGTGAGCGCAAGCTGCCAAATGGGTTCAGGCTGATTCACCGTGTTGTCGTAGACAGTGACCAAACTTGTCACCATTGTAGGTTGTGGACGTTGGATGACAATGACATGGGCCGCAACTGTGACCGCTTGTTGAGGTGGCCGAGGTTGTACTAGGACAATCTCCAATTGTGCACCTGCAAGGATTCTATCGCGCCATAATGTGCGGATGCTATGCTCCCACATTGCAAATTGGGACGTCAGGCGCAAGTTGCGAGGATACCAGCATACTCTCTGTTGAGGGTCATGCTGATCAACGAACCAGGTCACAATTTCCGCACTGGCTTGTTCTCCTTGCCATGTCACCGCAGTTCTCGTCCATTCTTCGTGTAGGTCTTGGATGACTTCTGGCATCGTCTCCAACGGAGCCTCACCTGGGACAAAGGGTGGTGCCGTGGGATCCATGACAAAGTCATCAATTGAGCTTGCTGGCGATAGATGTTGTGGTGGCGCAGGTCTCCATGGACTAGTGGACGAATTCGCAACATGGGGGCCATGTTCAAAGCGTCTCTTGACATGGATCTCAATGTGTTGTCCATTCTCCGCACGCCAAGGGCCGTTGTCGTAAAGTCTCCTATGGTTGTGCTCAGCATGACATACCCACTGCTGATCCTCACATCGAATCTCTTGGTCTGCAAACCATAGAAGTCGGTCATATGGCAACAGCCCAGGCACAAGTTGCGCAAATTGGTCATTGGGCGGACTGCCAAGAGTGGTGAGTAGTACACCAGCTTCGCCAGGATGTTCATGCTGTAGGATAAGGAGATGGCCACCGTGCGCTGCCCCGACAGGCGTCGGATAGATCAGTTGCAATTTCACTGGCCAATGGGGATGTTGGCGGTCCCTCCAAACTTGTCGTAAGGCGCCTTCCCAGAGATGTACTTGGGCCGGAAGTGCAGCAAGTCTTGACGTTGAACACCTCGGGAAATCTAACGCACTCAAAAACCACGTCTCAAAGTACATGATGGGCTCATTGTTTGTTCCCAAGGACTGGAGATGTGGTCTATTCCAAATTTCTTGAAGTCTGCGATGTTCTGGGTCCACTGTTTCAGCAGCCAGTGGTACTGGAGTCCTGTGTCGACGTCCAGGCCTTCTCCCACAGATGTCAAAGTGATCGGATGAGGGCACATGCTTCTCGCCGACTTTTGATTGGCGAATGCCCGGGCTCTGTAAAAGTGACGCCTCATCAACAGTCGCATCGCAGTTGAAACGTTGATCATCATCGCCGATGAAAACTTTCACATAATCGCCATCCTCAAGCATGAGTGGGCCATCCTGCTGAGGGTCAACGGCATTGTTGTTGATCCAGAGATGCGTTTTGTCCCTGTGTCGTCTGACCACATCTTCAATGCAGAGGAGACGGAATAAGGATGTCTGCGTCGTGGTATGCGGTAGCCATTTGGCTAATCTTCGAAATGCACCAGGAAGGACCTCATTCGTTTCAATGATCTCGAGGTCCAGCAGCGTAAACCGCAAAAACGAGATGGGACGTCTCTCTCCATTGCGGAGGGCCAGGATGCATTGAAGTTCTGCCGCAACCAAATCCTCAGGACGATCTGGGACCGTGAAGGTCTCGGCGACCTCTTCTTGCTCAAGGGCAATTGCAATTCTGCGGAGAAATTCTTGATGTTGGTCATCAGGAAGTAGACATGGAACAGCATGACCGTCAGAAGTGAATACAACCGATCTCAACCAGGTACTGGTTCCACTCGATGGTTCCCTGCTTCTGGAGCGTGTGGTTGATTCAGCTGCTGATGTGGATGAACTTGACGATGTGGGGACCACTCTGTATGGTCTTCTTGCCATCATTGCTGCATGGTCTGCTTCCTCATGTTGTTCAGGCTGTAGGATGTTGTCAGCATCAGCCCATTGTTCCATTCGAGGGCGAATATAATAATTCCACTCCTCTTCATTGATGAGCATGGGGACGTTGACGACCAGGCCAAGACCATTGTGCATTCTAATTGGACGTTCCCGTGGGAAGACATGGGGACCAGCACGTAGAACGCATGGTCGAAGGTCTTGGCGTTCAGCTTCTCGACATGCTTCGAAGGCTTCTGCTCGATGCAAGGCCGTGACGTAGTCGGTCCAAATGTCAACAATGTGTGCTATTTCTAGCGTTCTTGGTGTGGGCAGCTCATCAAAGAGTGCAGTAGTTAGAACTGCTGCACCTCCTGGTTGCGCATGTTGGACGATGAGCACGATGCCAACGATTCCTCTTGTGATGGAGATAGGGGGTTCAGGCTGCACCAGGTAGAGGTCGAAGTCAGCCTCTCTGTCAAAGAGGTCCCCCCAAACTTGTTTGAATTCTTCGCTCCATTCATCATATCTGCGTGTCAGCCGGATTGGGCGATCGGCTGCCTGTCTCACGCAGTTGCGGTGACTGAGGTAGTAGGTGGTCAAATAGATCACTGGGCCTTCTTCAAGTAATTCTGTTGCGCCTTCATCTTGAAGAATATTCCACAGTGTTTCCACCCACGCTGGAAAATGCCTCAGTGGAGCTCTTCTTTGTCGACCTCCTCCATTTGACCCTTCTGATGAGCTGGGCGGGTCCGGAAGGTTTGGATTCTCCGTCGGGTCTGGTCTGTGCATGGTTGGTGTAGAACTCGACGGAATCAAAAGAGATTGTGAAGACATACTGTCATCAAATCCAATGCAAAGGGATTGTGAGAACTTGCTGCTCTTCGGCAACCAATCTCGTTGTGAAACTTCAGCAGTAGGAACTCTGCTGGTCATCCATGAAGCACTGAATTCTGGTCCAAAATGGACTGAAACAAAAGGGTCAAAAGAGACTGTAAGGCCCTTTCTGCGTCGTCTGTGAGGTACTGAGAAACCCCATTCTGGTCGCTCACATTGCGCTATGAATCCATTCGGCTGCATGCTGAAGGCTAGTTGCATGGCATCCTCACTTGCCTGCCAGGGTGACTTGTAAGTGGGCTCCTGCAGGATTGAGTGGGACCATTGCATGCCAGCCACATCTGCAGCAATTGCTGTAGGAGGCCAAGACGCCCATCGATCAAAGTACTCAAGAGTCATCAATGACCGGGCACACCAAAAGGCTGCATGGAAGGCAGAGTGCCTTCTCCAGCCTCTTGATTCTTTGTTTCCCTTGGCCGCTTCGCCTTTCTCTCCTCCTCCGCATTGTGTTCCATCTCTGCTTGCTCTGACAGCTTCTGAAGACTTGCTGTCATGTGGTTGAGGCCTTCCATGATTTTCACTGCAGATTCCTTGGTCGCAGTGTCCTTCATCTCGTTCTCCTCGTCGGAGATCACTGTTGCTTCTTCCTCCTTCGTGTTGAAGTCGGTCTTGGCCTTTTGTAGCATCTCTTTGGCATTGGAGATATTCTCCTGATGGGCCGCTTCTTGTTTCTGAAAGTGATCTGAATACTGACGAAACCGTTCGAGCGACATCGTGAGAAATGCTCTCCATTGTGCCATGAGGTTGCTCCTGGCTAATAAGGCAGTGTCCAAAGATTCTCTGGCCTTGGTGAGCTCGTCCACGGCTGTGTAAAGACTTTTGGCGTCTTTCTTTGTGGCTGCCTTGGTCTCCTCGGCCACAAAGGATTGCAAGTCGGGAGTCAAGCTCTCTGGATTGGCCTTCTTCAACAGTGAGGTCACCTCTTTGAGCTTCTGTTCTGCATGAGAAGAACTGGCTGTTGTGTTGGCGACAGTGCCTGCACCTGGTGGTAGTGGCATGCTCATCCAAGGAGGTGGATTCCCCTCTGGACCTCCAAGAGGCGGAGGTGGAGGCGGTGCAAGAGTCTGTTGGTGCTGCACAGCTTGCTTGTGCTTGCCTTTCCCCTTGCCGCGTCCCCTCTGCTTTTTGGGTTGCTGATTCCTCGGGCTCTGCCTTGGGCTTTTGCCATCTTGTGCATTGCCCCATGGTGCATGATCTGGCTCCGTCCAGTATGTACGCCTTGAGGTCGATCTGGTCGTCTGCTTCTTCTTCTGGGGATAGATGATGCAGTCCTCCCAAGGCGACCCACATAGATCGCAGAACCACGCATTTTTCGCACGCAACTTTCTGCAGTTGCCACACATCCAACCAGCTTGCTCCTGTTGTGGATAAGCCATTGCTGATGTGATCAGGCGTAGAAACCCTTGATCTCTGGAATGATGCTGTTGCAGGATCTGAAAAATTCGCCTCAGTTGGTCTGGGCGAAGAATTCGACTTCCTCGTCGATGTTCGTGCCACTGCCTGCGCGCTGTAGCCCTCTGTCTCCGGAGTGCTCGGCGCTTTGTAGTCAGTGTCGTGGTTCACAAGGATGTCCGTGTAGGAAGCCTTGGAAATGATCACAAAGTCCACAAGGATGAAGATCTTCAGCAACAGGAAGGTGCAAGCAAAACGCATAAAGCCCGATCGTGAGGAAGAACTCAATGAAAAAGGGTGTCCAATGCAAAAATCCAGGGCACGGCCAGTTCAGATAATCGCAAGGAAAATAAAGGCCAAATATTTATAAGCAAAATCCAGGGCTTTGCCAGTTCAGATAGTGCAAATAAACGTGGATGTAGATGCCGGAATAGTGGCGCCAAGCCCGATCACGGTCAAGTACTCCAGGAAGGCTGCTAGGCAAAGGTGATTCGGCCAGCCCAAGACCGAAGAGCACAAGCCACGCAGCAGCCCGCGGGTGATATGGCCACGCACCCGCTTAGGTGAACGGCGTACCCTGTGTATCAGTAGGGGGGTAGTGCTTCCTACTGACACACTCACAGCCGAAACCTTATTAGTGGTACTATATATATATATATGTGTGTGTGTGTACATATGGCATTGTAATATAATATTGATATGTTTCACAGAAATAGATGGTGAGAGAGCTTCTATTGACGTATGATATCGTATGTTCACATTGTCTTTTCACCTGTTTGAACAAAAAAAGTCAACACATAATCCCTTAGTGATCCATCCTTTGGTGGATTATCGCTGTACAGATCTTCCCAAGCTGTTTGGTTTGGCCCCATTTTCTGCTGGACACTGCATGGCGCCATTGGCCGTTTAGCCTGGCACGTGGTGGCACCAGGCCTCGTTTAGGACCACAGTTTTCAGCTCGAGACCGCTACAAAACGCGGGGAAAAAGGTGTAGCTCCGAATTTGGTGCAGTTTTTTAGCACTCCGATGGCCTCACATCACCACATTTTTTTTTTTGGGTAGATCTACTTCAAGGGCTTGCAGAACTCAAAGGCACAAGGCCCAGCATTCTTGATTTGTTCCATGAGTTCTGTTGGGGCTTGCGGGTCTTTTTACAGTGCGCAGCAGATGCAGTCGTCGGTCCGACTTAGACTTAGGTTGAGCAGCGCAACGATGCTTTTCGTCTTGTATGCATAGTTGTAGTTTGTTCAGTTTTATGGTGGTCGACATGCAGTTCGTAATTCGTATGTATGTAAAGGGTCATAGATATCAATGACCTGCTCAGCAAACTAGAAGTGCTGCGAGTGCACTGAGTAAGGCCAGAGCTGGGTGGCACTTGAAGTTTGATGTGGTGGATAAAAAGAAGCAGGCACACTAAGCGGCAACCTGGGCACCCAATGCAAGCTGTGACAAGTTGCATAAGCACTAGAACCACCTCCAAGACGGTTGAAACTGACTCCAAGACCTCAAGCACCGCGTTACAAAATGTTACAAATATGTTGTGGTCAGTTGGACTACGCAACCCAGTAATCCAGTGCTATCGCACCCCACATCCCATGGACCTTCGCTCGGATCTGTTGCCCCCTTGCCTGTGCCAGTTGGTCCTGTGCTCGAGTTCCATTTCCGTCCAGCAGGACGCTGGGGCTGGCGGCAGGTTTGAAGTCCTTTGAGGATGTCCAAGATTGAGATTCAATCGGAACATGGTATAAGCAGCTAGCATGAGTTCTGGACATTGGGCTAATGGCTTGCCTTTAGCCCTTGGCTAAACTCTCGGAGAGGGCGATGGAGGGAGAGCGAGAGAGGGAGCCAGTAGGGCCACAAAGTATCACAAAGTGGTGTCCCCTAGATCTATCTAAATCCCCTGCTTGCTCCAACCAAAGATACATCCAGTGGTGTCCCAGTATACCAGTTATGTCATGTGTCATCATGGAGCTGAAGGTCCTGGATGAGATTAGTGCCACCGAAGGGTTCGGAGTCCTGAGATCCGATGCGACGATGCGATGCTTTTGGCGACGGGGGGCCCACATTGAGGGCATTTAAGATTTGAGGAAAGCTTCGCACAGGGAGAAAAATTGGGGTACAGTAATACCATTATTGATGTATCAATAGGTATTTATGACAGGTTGCTTTGTGAATTGCTTGCCAAGGGTTTACAGAACCAACAGTTCAATAGTATATTTCTATATCCAGTGGTATATCCAGTGGTATCATGTGGTATCCAATGTAGATATTTGGACTGGGCCCTGCCCACAAAAAAACAATGTTGACGGAGGGTGGCCAGCACTACTATTTACCGCAGTTGGGTTGGACCATTTGAAGTTTGTTGGCAAAGCATTGATTTTCAGCTTTGCCAATCACCTGCCGCATGTCCATCATTATTACAGTAAGTATCCCGATTCCAATCGGGACAACAGTTTTCGGAGAGGCTGTACTGTAGTACATTGAACCATCTTTAAATGAGAAGGTCTTACCCTCGATTTGCACAGAGAAAACTGGCTACTGGTAAACCAGCCTTTATCCAGTTCAAACGAGGAAAGATCCCGTCACCAACATTGCCATCCGGGAGCGCATCGAGGACGAGATGTCTTGTTGAGGGGCACCGTTTGTTGAGGCCAAATAGGAGAGAACATCACTAGAAAGAGCTAGAAGTTATGATTCAATGATCAAGAGTGCAAAGTAGAACCCCCAAATGGTGGGTTGTTTCAGATTTGTAAAATTACCTTTAGATTACTTAGTGATTACTTTATATCATTGATTTGGCCAGGCTATGCCAGGCTACTTCATGACACCCAGCTCTTGCTGGGATGCCAGGACGCTATGTCGGCCTTCCAACGGCCCAGTTCACCAGATCCATTTGCTGATGAAGAGAGGCCCTCGGGTCGGTCGCTGGAGGGGTCACTGACCATCACCACTGATCCCTTGCAGGTGCCTGCCCATCAACAAGAGACTGGTCATGAAGCAGTTGGACAAACCCTTCAAAAAATCCACGGAGACGGGGCGGGGGGGGTGTTTGTGTGGGGGGAAGTTCTGAGAGCAACCGAGGGGAAAAGGATGAAAAAGGGACGGTCAATCAATATCAATCAATATCAATCAAATCAATCAATATCATTCAGTCATGTTTTTGTTTGTCAAGTACCCCAAGTTCAATAAATGCTAAAGGCAAAGGACATCCCACCCTTGTCACACCTGAGCAGCTCACAACGGGTGCCGGCTTGATGCTTCAGTTTTCCCAGGAGCCAGGGGAGATGGACCCCAGCAGCCCCAGCAAACCAAGACAATCCCAGGCTCACAGCTGTTCACAGGGATGCGCGCGTTGTTCAGAACGGAAATGAATGGGCATAGTTTCCGGATGTTTCCGGATGATGGATCGATTTTGAATGAATGCATGGAATTCTTGGAGGGATGAATGGAGGGATGGGGCATTCAAGGAAGCCTCTGCGTGGATGATTGGCATTTGGGGTTGGATCATGATCCAATTAGGTGAATGGCTGCTTCCACTGACCACAGGTGGCAGAAGCTTTTGGTAGCGCCTTGGTAACCCTTGGCCTGAAAAGTGGGGCAAAGGAAAGAGAAGACCTAGGCTGGGGCCACCTGGGTAGGTCGCGGCATGCCCTTGCATGCCTTGAAGTCGGCCAAAGATATGGCATTGGTTTGAGTATGCTTTGAATGATTTGCCACTGAAGTCACGTTAATAGAGTTCTTACTTGAAGCCTGGATTTGAAACACATTGAAAGTAAGCTGGCCGTCAGTCGTTGGTGGGTTGAACGAAACTGCAGTCCAGCTTAGGCTGGCAAGTTGGAATGTTTGCCACTCTGATCATGGCATGATGCTTCAATGCATTGTGTTTCTATAACGTCCGGAATTATTTGCTGGCGGGTTGAAAGCTCACTGCCCATCCGAATGGATTCTGAGTTAACTGAAGATACCTTTACTTGATAATCTTATTCAACTGGAGTATTGATATGATGGATCAAAAATGTGCCAGCCACTGCTTGCAAGCGAGTTCCAGGGTCCCATTCCGTTAATCAGAGCTCAGCCAGTTTTTTTTTTCACCCAACGGAAGCAACGTCATGTAAAATCAAAACCTGGGGTTTGTCTCCAAGCGGGACATACCCCGAAATTGCAAAATCCACTAGAGTTTAAAGGTGCCCCATGTTCAGAGCACCTCCCTATGACGACAATCATTTAACTGTTTCCACAGGCACTGATGGCATGGAGCTTCATGTCAGCTTTGAGGCCAGGACAGGACAGGAGATGCAGTAGCCATATTATCAGGTTTCCTCCTCCTCCTCCTCCTCCTCCTCCTTAATGATGACAGTACTAGTGTTAGTACGTGTTAGTGACAACAGCGACGACAACGATGATGATGATGATGATGATGATGACGATGATGATGATCATCATCATCATCATCACCATATGAACAACTGTTGTCTCCATCATGGTCATTGCTCTTACAGTGTGCGCTTGATGTTGTCTTACTTGTTGGATCTTGTTGGTAAATTAGTGATATAAACGTTTGGCAATATTCACTGGTCAGGTGGTGTCTCGTTGGAAGGGCCTCCAAAGAACGTGTGCTGCCTCAGCTGTGGTTATTGAACCCAAAATGGCTGGCAGGTTTGGATGACCCGCATGATCCCCCAAACGCATGTTTTGTTTCTGTTCGACAGGACAGATTTGACGGATTTGATTTGACATTTCTTGCTCAGATATATAGTCATATATATACGTTTCCTGTTGTGCGCAGATGTAACAGCATAGCTGGCATCCATGTGGAGTGTTTATCATTGTTTATCAGCTTTGAGCCAGAGGCGCAAACGAGCATGGAGCAGCATGGTCCAGGTATTCATGGATTTCACGCGCTTTTTGTTAAGCCCATCCTCAGTTGTAACTTTTGTGGTATATGTCTCTTGATTTGCATCGCAATCAGTTTTCAGTTGATGAATATGGTTGTATTTCGATGTATTTCGGCTGCATGGATGTGATCCCATTTGAAAGTGGAAGTTGAAAGGTGCCCACCAAGGGTTGCCCGTTTTTTTTTTGGGTTTAGCCCATTGAAGGTGGCGAGGCGACCCTTTTTGGTGACACCCGTGGGTTTCTCTTACTTATTAATTGATTATATATATATATATGGTATGTTGTCTGTACATGTCTATATATAGGGATTAATCGGTATGAATGATAATTAATGAGTTAAACATATGATCAATATTAATTACAAA